CTCAAACATGATAACCCCCACTCAAACAAATCTCTCAAGGAAGCCTTGTTTCTCTGCGATGAAAGGAAAGCAAGAAAAAGCATACCAATTGATAACAAGAAGTAATGCCTCGCATTATCCAAACTCTGCACTGCGAAGAGACGAATGGGAGCGATGCCTTCTAAAAACATAAACCCACAAGTATATGCATAGGCTACCCATCTTGTAATCAACGATGGCAGTGGATGGCTCCAAGCTTCAATGAGACAAGGCAATCAGGACCAGGATAAAGGTTGTCGCAGGATGACCTACCATTTCATCAATTCACCATACTAACAGGGGGTGAAGAGCTTCTTCCTCCAAATCCTCACCAATCCTTAACAATAATGCCTCAACAGGTAAACAAAAAAAAACAAAAAAACTGGTGCCACGACCGCAAACAAATGCTTAAAGTACAATAACACAGACAAAACAAGCCCACCAATCAAGTCATTCCCTTCCTCCAAACACAAAAGCGAAATCAACAAAATCCCAAGCAAAAACCCATTGTCCTGGAAATGCAAATGGTCCACAATTGCTTGAAGTACAACAACAAAGACAAAACAAGCCTACCAATCAAGTCATTCCCTTCCTCCAAACACAAAAGCGAAATCAACAAAATCCTAAGCAAAAACCCATTGTCCTGGAAATGCAAATGGTCCACAATCACACAAAGACTAGTAAAACTAGCCGGTGAGAGCAGAGTTGAGGGCACTATGCACATCAACTCCAATATGGGCTTCAGCTTTCTCCAAGTCGGTTACGCTGAGTTGAGCTTCTGGGTGAAATATGCAAGCCCCTTCTTGACAAGACTTGCATCGACATAATCAAGAGGGACAACCTTTACAGCAATTATGCCTGCCATAGAGTTAGCGTGGATGAATGCAAAACCACCAAAAATAGGTGACTGTTACATTATCCAATTATGTCAAAGCAAGGGGCATCTGTCGCTCGTCATTCTTCAACAAACACCAGTTTTTTGTCGGGCAAAACAGTAGTTTTGGCACTAAAAAGGTACTAAGAACATTTAAAAAAATATGGTTTTGAAAGATATTAATCAGAACATGGACCATGCAACTAATCATTGCATTTAGTTCCATTTTCTTTTAATCTATCAGAAGCAAGTTCTGCTAAAAGTTTATAATCCGTCTATCAATGTCAGAAATGCAGTGAAAAAAAAAGGATAGTAAAGAAGGTTTTCAATGGTTATCAATGTCCGAAATGCAAGTCTTCAATGAAACTGAAGCGAATTGTTAGACCGAGTCGTTAGTCTGTTTGTATTATTTAGTTTGAAGTGCTGTATTTGGTTTCAAAGGCTTATCTCTTCGAAGTTGGATAGGCTTAGGATTTTGTCAACGTCTTTAAGATTTCTGTTTGTATATTTGAATTTCAAACCTTCCATGTAAATAGGGTTTTGAAACCCTGAATGTAATATGTATATTGGCTATAAATATACACAACCCAAGTCTTTATGGGTATGCAAAGTTGACATGAAACAACCTTCTTGTCGAATATACAAAACATGCAGTTCTTAAGTTTGTAGATGGTACACAGAGCTTTTTTAGTCCAACGACAGCGATCCATTTTTTTTTCCAATTGTCCACTACCTTCTACCACGTCGTCAGAAGTTAACACCAATGCCACCAACTCCAGCAACCCCACCACCAATCCCAACAACCTTAACCCTACCCCACCACCTACAATCAATCCTTTTTCCTCCGCAATGACCACCATTGTTAACATTAAGCTGGACCGAACCAACTATCCTTTGTGGTTGGAACAAATTCTTCCTATCTCAAAGAGTGGAGATTTGATGGGATTCGTGGATGGTTCCTGTGTTTGTCCTCCAAAACATCTCGCTGTAAACATAGCAGTCAATCCTGCGTACACTAGCTGGGTGCAACAGGACCAAATGATCCTTAGTTGGATCAATGGTTCCCTAACCGCCTTTGTATTGTCCATCGTGGCAAGCAAACGCACTTCGCGTACAACCTGGAAGGCTCTGGAGCAACTTTATGCGTCATTTTCACAAAACAGAATCTCGTTCTTGCGAAACGAGCTGCTACAAACCAAAAAATGTGACCTCTTTGTTGCTGATTTCCTTAACAAAATGAATTCCATTTCTGATAACCTTGCCTTAGCTGGCAAGCCTGTTGATGATGATGAGTTAGTTCAGATTATTCTTAATAATTTGGGACCGGCCTTTGAAATGATTGTGAATGCTGCACAAGCACGTGATATCATGTACCCTACTTTGGAGGCTCTTCTTCTCACTACTGAGAGGAAAATGTTGGAGCAGACTGTTCCCTTGGTTGAAACTGCTCCAGTGAATGCATATGTAGCTGCAAGAGGATGTGGTGGACATTCTCGAGGCGCAGGACGTGGTGTTAGTCAGTCCAATCGTGGCTCTTCTATGTCTCAGCGAGGGGGTGCCCTTCGAAATGGCAATAACAGTAACAACAGTCAACGTGTGCAGATAGGTTTGGGTGTGGAAGTGACCGTATAACGTGCCAGATTTGTGGAAGAGAATGGCATCCAGCCCTTGACTGCTATCAATGGATGAATGCTGCATACGAAGGGCATATCCCAGCCAAGCATCTCAGTGCTATGGCATCATCTCCAATCACACTTAATCGTCAACAAAATGGGTCCTGGTTACTTGACACCGGGACAAATGCTCATGTCACTCCCGACCTTCAGAATCTGGTGAATCCCAAGGAGTATAATGGTAATGAAAACATTGGAGGTGTAGGTAATGATTCTCGACTATCTATTGCCCATTCTGGTTCAAATATAATTAAGACTGATTCTTGCTCATTTAACTTACATGATATCTTACATTGTCCTTCAGCCTCAACTAGCTTAATTTTTGCCCATCGTTTTACCCTTGATAACCACTGTTATATACTTATTTTTCCATATTTTTTTGTTATTAAGGACCTCAAGACCCAGAGAACGCTTTTTCCGAGGGAGGTGTGAGAATGGGTTATACCCATTTCCAAATGGCGGTGGATTATCCAAACGTTTCTTGTCTGCATGTTTAGGAGTCTGAGTGTTTGCACAGAAGTGGCATGCTCGTCTTGGTCATTTTGCTTCTACAATAATAAAGCTTTTGATTTCCAATAAACAAGTGCCACTTAGTGGCATCTCTGATGTACGTGTTTGTCATTCATGTCCGTTAGGCAAGAGTACCAAATTGCCTTTCAATGTTTCAAAGTCTATTTCAAAGTTTCCATTAGAACTTTTGCATTCCGATGTTTGGTGTTAGTTTAAATTGAAGGTTATCGTTATTATGTATTATTTGTTGATGGTTTTTCAAGATATTCGTGGGTCTTTCCAATGAAAAATAAGTCGGAAGTGTTTCAAATTTTCATTAAATTCAAAGCTAAAGTTGAAAACATGTTCAATCGTTCAATCAAAGTAATTCAGTGTGATGAAGGTGGCGAGTATAAAAGCAATGTGTTTCGTGATTTTCTTGAAAAGCATGGCATTTGTCAAAGGTTTTCATGTCCTAAACATCCAGAACAAAACGGTCTCGCAAAGAGAAAACGTCGTCATATTGTAGAAACGGCCTTCGTCATGCTGTCTCATGCTCATATTCCTTCAAAATATTGGGTTAATACGTGTCAAACAGCCACCTACATCATAAATAGCCTTCCTACATCAAAATATGATTTCTTCAAAGTGTTTGGGTGTAGGTGTTTCCCTTGGTTACGTCCATATACATGAAACAAGCTCGAACCAAAATCAAAATCTTGTGTTTTTTTAGGATATTCATTGGATCATCAAAGCTATAAATGATTGGATTTATCCATGAGACGGGTCTATTTGTCTCACCATGTCCTATTTGATGAAGACTCTTTTCCGTTTCAGGATTCCACATCTCCAAGGGAAAACGACACCTCAGGTAACAATTCAAACCCTGACTTACTGTTTGTTTTTCCTAATATTTCTCATCCATCTCCTATCAACTCTCACAGCCAACCTGAAGTCGTGTGTCAATCACCTCTCCCTGCCTCTACCCCCAATACTACCTCACCATTAACTGAGTCCGTGTCCCAACCTAGCCTACCTGAATCTACATGCTTAACCATTGTTCCACCTAACCCTAGTGCGTCTGTCTTACCCCTAGGTTTACCAACTGAGCAAGAATCAGTCCCAGAACCTGTTCACCAAGCGTAGTCTGTGCGCGAGTCACCTCCAGTTCACTCTATGACCACTCATTCTAAAGATGGCATCCGCAAACCTAATCCCAAGTATGCATTGCATGTGGTAACAAATGACAAATTTGTTGAGCCTACATGTTTCAGTCAAGCAGTTAAAAAAGAAGAATGGTGAGATGCTATGGTAAAGGAATTCAATGCTTTACAAGGTATGGGACGTGGAATCTTGTTCCTTATCGACCGAACATGAACTTGCTTCCAAACAAGTGGGTGTACAAGATTAAACGATAAGCAGATGGTTCAATAGAACGTCACAAAGCACAATTAGTGGCAAATGGATTTCATCAAATAGAGGGAGTTGACTATGGAGAATCGTTTAGTCCTGTGGTAAAGCATAGTACGATTCGGTTGGTACTTAGTTTGGCAGTTTCGAATCATTGGCCAGTGCGTCAACTAGATGTCCAAAACGCATTTTTACATGGCTACCTGACGGAAGAGGTGTACATGAAGCAACCCATTGGTTTTCAATGGTTATCAATGTCAGAAATGCAAGTCTTCAATGAAACTGAGGCGAATAACCTTAATATTATAAAGGGAATACCATGCTTAGTGGGGATCACAAAGTTGACCGTGAGCTTAGTGGGGATCAACGACTGGGTTGCAGGCCAAGGCTTTCATGAAGGTCAATGGAGTCTTGGGGGCTATGATGCATGGACACGGACACGGATACGGAGATACGATACGACACGACACGGGGATACGTCAAATTTCTAAAAATGAAGACACGATACGGCAAGGATACGGCAATTAAAAATAATATAAATAAATAAATATATCTAAATATTATAAAATAAGCATTCAAATATACTATTCAAGTTCAAATTTATTTCGATAAACTTCAAACATTTAAAAGATAATCCACTAAACAAATTAGTCTTCAAACTTGAAAAACTAAAAAGAACATCCAAACGACTTAAAAAATAAAAAGAAAGAGTCCCTCATTCTCGAGCTAGCTTTTTCATTTATGCAAGAGCTTCATCAGTAACCTTATTGCAAGAGACGATCCCATTTCCAGACACTTTTAACAAATGAAACTTGATCCTAGAGTAGGATCCTCTGAAAATCTTTTGACAATAATTGCATTGAAACACACTACCTCCTCTTCCATTTTCCACTCTTTCGAGCTTTTTGACATACTTCCATAGTGTACCATGATCATTTTCAACATTCTCAACTAGGTTGACATTAGCATTCGCATGATTATCAGGATGATTCATTTTCCTAAATTATCAACATGTAAATTGTAAGAATCAAATATATAAACAATAAGAGTCAATCCATTGTATAGACAGAGACAATTACATGAGAAATTTATATTAACTTAAGAGATTAAAAAATACATCATGAAATCCATAAAATATTATAATCTAAATATCATGAAAGCACAATAGTATATTATTTATAATATACAAAATACAAAATAATATTATATACAGAAAGCAAAAGTGGGCACGAGTATTTTGTATATAATATTATTTTGTATAACAGATAAGTGATTACTGATTGCACACCATCTGACCCCATTGATTGATCTTCGAAGATCAAAATAATATATTATACAGAAAGCAAAAGTGGGTTTTGGCTTTTTCAATTTTGCATAACAGATACATTGAATTAGTCAATGGCTTAAAGCAGAAATGGGGCTTTTAGCTTCGAATAAAAACAGAGCAGCATGTTTCTTTCAATTTCAGAGGGGTTCTGCAATCAGATTGAGCTTCAAAATTAACAAACTGAAAACAAAGTCGAAGGCTCTCACCAGGAGTTGCAGACGGAGACGATGGAGACGATGGAGCAGTTGCAGACGGAGACGATGGAGACGATGGAGCAGTTGCAGACGGAGACGATAGAGACGACGGACGGACGGAGCAATTGCAGATGAGTCTGATTTCTGAGGTTCGAAATCGTTTTGGTTTTTAGTTAAACAATCGTTTCAGTTATCTAATTCGAATCAATCACGATTCTGTGCGGATCTAGATTTTTTTTCTGATTATCCTCTGATTTTGCTTGAAACGTATCCGAAAAATATGATACGCGTATCTCGACGATATGATACGCGTATCTTGGTAATAAAGAACGTATCCCTTCGTTCCGATACGTATCGGGCGCGTATCCACACGTATTTTGTACGTATCCGTATCCCTGCGTGTCAGATACGGGATACGTTGAGTTTTCCCCGTGTCCATGCATCGTAGCTTGGGGGGTTCTATGTGAGGCACCACTTTCTTCCAGAAGTAGAATCGGCTGGGGCAGTCGCAGCGACGTCGGTGGAGAAGGGACTGGCACTAAGGGGATGGCTGATTGGGTTAAGAGAGTCGTGGCTCGGCGCAGCATCGTGGCAGAGTGAGGGATCGCTCGGGTCTCGCCGGGTCGGAGACAGAGAGGGTGGAGTTTGCCGAGAGGGTTTGGTTTCCATTTCGGAAATGGCTTCTGCCGTTTCGGCCTCTGGAGATAGAGGAGGAAATGGGTATGGGTTTTGTTGAGGTCGTTGTGGGCTTTAGTCAGTTTAGGCCCATTAAACGCATTTTGGTAATGACAATGTATGGCTCCTTAGTACTCCTCAATTTAATTAGACTGATTCATAGAAATTTGTATTTATAATCAGAATTGTTTATATTATAAATACTCTTTAATGATATCTATGCAAATAATAAATTTAAATTAAGATTTTTTTAGTTAATCAATTGTAGCAAATAGATAGACAATTCTTAATGCTTTTTCTGAATCCGTCTATATATTTTTATACAGTTCGATGACTAAATAATCTCATATTTTATAATATAAATCTGATCATAAGCATGAAATTTCGTGAATTGGTTATTGACGATGTAGTGAATCGAGGAGGAACCCTTCATCAATTGAAGAGCCAAGTTAATTCCTCTTAGTAATTAGTAGTATACGTGAAAGTATGCCGAACTATACTGAGTATTTCAATTGACTAATTTATTGCCAAACTGTACTGACTATATAATTTAGAGTATGGTCTTGTGTCGGATTAAACGGTTGATTTTGTACTGTGATCATGCAATGGATTAGAGGTCATCGAATTGCACGATAGAGTTTTCAAGAGTACATGCGTTTTGCATGATGTTGGACCTCCGTGATAGCTTAGGGAGATTGTAATTGTTGGGCATGTGAGGTTTCTTTTTTTCTTCACTAGAAAATTTCCCATGTGATTTTTTTAGTCCCCTTCCTCTCATTCACGCACGATTTGTGTACGTACCCTTGGTTAACTGTTTCATAAATTACCACTTACCCTTAAAATTTTGGGGTAATTTGTTATAGGGCATGAATATTTTCAATATTACAACCGACTTAATCAACATTTTAGTAGATTGTGTTTCTAAAGAAAGGTCAATGACTCTAAGCTGGAAAGGGAAGTTCGTATTGATCATAATTGTGTTTATATTAACCTATTTTAGAAATTTAAATGAAAAGCAGCCTATGCCGAAATATTAAGAGCTTGTTTGGTATACTATTCATTTTTTTTAAGGATATCTCTTAAAAACAATCTCCTCTCAATTCAAAAACTTGTTTAGTATGAAATTCATAATTTTTTTTAAAGAAAAAAAAATCTCATTTTATACTGGAACTTCTAAATTCAACGGCAAAAAAAAGGAGAGAGAGTATCGGAGGAGAGAGATGAAAAAAAAAATAAGAGAGAGATGATCGGAGAAGACTGAGAAGATTGGAGGAGAGAGAAAAAGAGAAATAGGGGAGGATAAAGAGAAAGATCGGAGGGGGGGGGGGAGAAATAATAAAAGAAAACTAACGAAAAATCCTCAAAAACTTTAGTTTTCAACGAAAATGACAAAAAAATGTATAAGTGAATAGTACCATGAGTGACTTTTCAAGGTAAAAATGTCTTTAACGTTAAAAGTGAACAGTACCATGAGTGTTTCGTTAAGATTCCCAAATAATAAAGATAGAAGAGAAGGGATTAGGTGTGAGAGGAAAGGGAAGAGAGAATGAGTGAGCTTTAAATTCAAAAACTCTAAAAATACCTTTTGATGTTTTTAAGAAAAAAGGTAATTCTTATGTTAGTTTTGAATACAAATTTTTTAAAAGAGTCATGCCAAACAAGTTTTCAACACTTAAAACTTGAAAAGTGTTTTTTAGTTTAAAAAATTTGATTATAGTAAAATACCAAACATATCCTAAATTATTCATTGACGTAAATCGAATTTCCTATTTACACACACGTTAATGAATATTTTCAGCTAGTTTATTATTAAAAATAAAATAATTAAAACTCCACCCAGAATTTCATTTCATAAACTCAAGTGATTAGAAAAAAAAAAGGTGATAAGATAGCTTTTGAGAGCACGTAGGTGAGGAACAACACTACTATTGAATCCTTACTTCCTCCTTGTAGAATTTTATAAAGCTCTGCCTCATACAAAAGTTGCGGGTATTTTGTCTTGATATTTTCCTGCCAAATAAATTACAACCGGTTGCTCCAACGTCATACTGCAAGTAGCACTGGAAGCAATGGAATAGTGATGAAGTGAGCAAAGCTGAGCTCAGGAATTTTTGTAATATTATTTTTTTTAACCAAATGACCGTTGCAAAGCTTCTCCCAATTCTTCACTTATACTACCTCCCCAAACACTACATGTCAGTTGGCCACTCACTAAAACAACTCAGTTACAAATTAAGTATGCTACTTATATTAATGTGTATATTTTGTGTACTTTTTCTTTGCTATTTTTCTCTGTTTCTCCTGGCAAAAATCATAAGGTGTTCTTTTTTTTCTTTTCCAGTTGTTCCTTAAAGAAGAAAGTGCTGCTGGGAGGGCAAGGCCAATCTCGCAAAATTAGATGAAAATTCTCTTGTTAATAATTGAAGGCATCGCTGTTACACTGTTTTATATGATTGCTTAATTTTGTTTTATACTTGTTAGATCATGTTGGGGATATGTCAACAATCTGTGATAAATTTATATATGCTAATAAATAATAAAATGCAAACCGTGTATGAACAATGAAATAATATTTAACAGAAATATTGCAGATCGAGGCTTACGTACCGCAATGTCCTTGAAACAGAAATTTCGCCCCTACTCAGTGCTTGTAGTTCTACGGACGTCTGCTTCACCAGGATTCAATGATCAAATCAGAATTCCAGCACTGGAAAACTTGACTTCTGACGAATTTCTGTGTGGTTCTCTCAGAAAGGATATTTGTGATTGTAGAAGAAGAATGTTGATTTTTTGTGTTCTGAATGCCATGCAGATAGATTTATACATAATATGATTATGCTTGTTCGCAACAGGTATGAGGAAGGGATGCATATGTTGGGAGACATTTTCTCATACACTTCAGACTTCATTTGAAAGGATGAGTCTGTTGATAAAATAATAAAAAAATTAAATTAATTAATTAAATTCGAAATTAATTAATTAAATCCAAAAATAATTAATTAAAGTATTTAATTATTAGAGTGAGGGGACCTTGTGATAATTAATTATATATTAATTATCAATTAATTAGCATACCCCAAAACCCAACCCCAAGGGTGAGCTCAATTTTATTCTCCAAGGTCTATCACTCCAATCACTTTCTATAAGGACAAAGCCTTATAAAGTGAGGGGACCTTGTGGTGGTGAGCAATGTGGGACAATGAAATTCTACTCAAAATTTCCAACAGATCATGGCAAGACGAGGAGCAACAAAGGGCAGCGGATGCTGTAAGCTTGGGCACTGTCTCAGAAATTGGGAGTGAACAAGTATTTATTGTTTCAAAAATAAAAACACATGATTTTGATTAGCAGCTAGACCTGTAAATGGATCGGGTTTATTGGGTTTGGATTGGATTCAACCTGATCCGTTAATTTAACAGGTCATCCAAACCCAACTCGTCATTCAAACTCAACCCGTTAATCTAATAAGTCACCTGTTAACACTTTTTTATTTAATTTTAATTTGCATTCACATATATTAGCTAACAGTCTAACATCATATATATATAATTACAATCTTCCGAATTAATTAATTACTAAAACTCCATAACACGGGTTTTGCAAAATGTGATCGAGTAGCATAGCTATATGCAGCATGCCGTATTCAACATCATCAAGAATGTACCGCACAATTATATCGCCACTTCAAGGAAGAATCTGCGGATAGAACACCCAAAAATCTGCAACACACAAGCATTACACATGCACAAACACAAATTTTTGTGAAGACAAAATGAACTAGCTGTGCGCCAAGGAAGATCTAAAAGTTTAGAACCTTATTCTGTCAACCAACAATAACACTCATGACTTCCAAAATTTAGGGACAAAACTGATGTATATATCCTGTATACTTTGCATGTTATGTGGCCCATAAATAAGAGGTATTAAAGACATTAAAAGCTTCCTACTAATCCAATTTATTATAAGTTCAAAACTTGTCTTGGCAAAAGATGATCTCAGCGAGACATCGTTTAATAAGTACGAGAGAAAAGGGAAACAGGGAGCACACATACATTATATAAACTAGTAGCCACGTTCATTTCTGCAAGCTAATGAAGTAATTAGCTGCAATTTGTATAGGACAGAGTATAAATATATATACTCTTGAGACAACATCAGATAAGCCTTCTCCGAATGTAAGGAATAATCAGATGCAAAACTGAAAGATGGATGGCAAAGCTTATGTGTGGGTGTATAGATATATGAGCTCTGAAAGCATATTCAAAACAATATACAGATGGAGAAATTGTATATACCCCAAACCCAATATACATGTAAAGTGGCAAGACAATGTTTATAATCATGGCTCTGGTAATTGAGACGGAGATAAATACCTTCAAAATTTACTAACTAATATATACACACACAATAAATTTGTAGGGTCTTATAAAATGGTACCAATGGGACTTTGAAAAACTAATATGAATACTCGTATAAATTATCTCTACAAGTGTTGAGCCATGCCTAAACTGGAGCAACTTCTTCATTCGTTCTATATTTACAGTCCTATTGCCCTAACCTAAGTTAACCAAATAGCATAAACAATCCAATTAACGAGAATGCAGCTGACAACAAATGCATTTTCAGAGAACGTAGAAGATAAGCCTCCATAGCCTTCCCCAATACATTCACATGTGGCTTATATCATTGAAACCCAGTTAACCAAATAGCATAAACAATCTAATTAACGAAAAAACACAAAATATGCTGCCCTAGAAACCCCAAAATCTCCAATCCAATCATACACAGAAAGCACCATTTGCACAACAAAAGCACAATCGCAATTGAAATTATCAAACACAAATCAATTAATTCCAAATTAATTCGAAGCTGTTTTGAAGAGCACCACCTAAAACCAAGCTCAAGCAAAAGCTGAGAAAAATAGACGAAAAATACAATATGCAGAAAAGAAAAGTGATCGCCATGGAAGAAGAGGTGGAAGGCAATCGGAACTTACTAGAGAGAGTGTGGCAGAATTCAGTAAAACCCTGATTTTTTAGGAAGAAGATGAGGGAGAGAACGGCAGCCCAGA